GGCTCCTTTTCCTGCATTAGTTTTTAAAACTTTTTTTTTTTTTTGGTCTCAAAATGATACTGTCCTTTTTCCAGATAATTGGAGAGTTACTGGCCACTCTTCTAAGTCAGAAGTGGTTCTTTTAGATCATTACAGTGATGTCTAGATGGAAATCCACACATGTTGATACTGTAGAAGGGATGGTCAGAGTTGCAATAAGATGGCTGTAGTTTTTTTCTTTCCACCCCAAAGTTTAGGTACTTGATTTGAAATTATTAGAACTTATATTTGCATCTTCTGTTATTGTAGAAATAGGTGTGATAGAGAGAAATGGGAAATAGCAAAGTCAAGACTTAGAATGGAGCTGTTACTAAAAATAATCTCACTCGTGGGCGTTGGTGGCACACTTTTAATCCCAGCACTCAGGAGGCAGAGGCAGGCAGATCTCTGAGTTCAAGGCCAGCGTGGACTCCAGAGTGAGTGCCAGGATAGGCTCCAAAGCTACAAAAAAAAAAAAAAAAAAAAAAAAAAAAGAATCTCTCTCCTCTCTTTCTCCTTCCCTGTCCTCTGAGACTAGGCCTTATATCGATGATGCTCCCCTCAAACTTACTGAATAAGGGAAGGAGGTGATCTTGAACTTGTGCTCTTCCTGTCTCTAACTCCCAATTGCTAGCGTTCCAGTTATTTGTATGTGATTCTGTGGCTTAGGGTTCTGTGCATGGTAGGCAAGTATGCTGCCAACTGAGCTAAGTCCCCATCCCTAATGTTTTGAAACAGGGTCTTACCTCAAATTCACTGTGAGTCACCTTGAACTGCTCATCCTTCTGCATCCACCTCCTGATGCCAGAGTACAGACCTGCATCACCACACCCATCGTTATGTTGCCCTACACCCTGGCTTCATGTGCTAGAGAAATGGCTCAGTGTTTAAGAGCACTTGTTAGTCTTGCAGAGGACCTGAGTTCCAAACTCAGACCCACATAGACCCTCACAATTGCCTGTAACTTCAGCTCCAGAGGATCTGACACCCTCTTTTGACCTCTGTGGGTACCTCCGTGCAGCACGCACATGAAAATACTCATACCCACACACCTAAAAAATAAATCTTTTACAAGGTTAGAAACTAGCTCTAGTGGGTGTAGTGGCCCACACCTTAGTAGTTACCTGGTCTACAAATCAAATTACAGGAAAGCCAGGACTGTTACAGAGAGAAACCCTGTCTGGAAAATCCAACAACAAAAACAAACAGACTCTAGAAGCCCCAGACACGAGGGAAAGAAATAAGGAAAACATCAGTATTTGGGGGTTACTAGTCAATACTGACAATCCTTACTTTATTTAGAGTGTCACAATACATACTTTCCAAAAACTTTTTCTCTCAGGGATGAGGATCCCCTTTCCTTCGAGGTGGGTCTTGAAGTCTGCTGGTAGGTAGGAGGGGTCTTCTTGGCCACGATGATCTCATCTACAGTCACCAGCTGCTGTACCAGCTCAGCAACTGCTTGTAGTCCTTGGGCTTTGGCCCTCAGGATGTCCCAGATCCCTTCGTGGGTCGCATTTATTATCCCATCTGTTCCCACTCCAATGAGGAAGTTCCCAACTTGGTGAATTCCACTCATTTCTGCCATCACACTTCGGGCATCTAAGCCGGCATTCTCCGCCAAAGTTTTAGGCAGAGAACTCAGGGCCTGGGCAAATGCTAGGAAGGCCAGACCATTGGGGCCTGCCAATCGGCTTCCTTTGTCTGTCAGGATTTTTGCTAGAGCCATTTCTGTAGCACCGGCTCCTGGTAGCAGTCTGGGATCTTGACACAACTGGGCAAAGGCATCGATGCCATAGTAGACAGCCTGCTCTGCACCCCGAAGTCCCTGGATGGTGGGTCCCCTAAGGACCACGGTGAGAGATGGTGCACTCTCAGGTTTCCATTCAAACACTATTACCACCACGCCGTCCTGCAACTGATAACTATAAACCTTCTGGCAATTCCCAGGCTGCAGGGGAGGTAGCAGCCGAGTCAGCAAAGGAGTACCCATCATCTCACTCAGGTAGACCATGTCCTTTCGGGAACTGACTTGAATCACCATGATACCACAATCGTCAGCCTGGACCACCGTGTTCTCATCGACCTCGCCCCACACCACTGCCACATTAATGTCCATAACGGCCAGCTGGGTTATTTCCTTTTGCAATTGTTCAGTTTGTTTCTGAAATCTTAGTAGTTCTTCCATGTTGTCGAGACGGGGTGTGGCCAATGCAAATGGATTTGCGGGACCAAAGGGACAAATGAATAGGGCCACCCTGGCATTAGCTGGCACCTCAGTCTTTTGTCCACAGGGCTTCCCAGATATTACTAACCCCGAGAGAATGCAAGAATCAATCAGTGCCCCACCCTGCAGCGAGCACACACCAATATGCTCAGGCTTGAAGGTGCCGTTTGGCTCCCTGCTAACCCAGCACGCGTGAGCCACAAGCTTGGTTAAAAAGTCTGTGTCGGTCAGTGTGTGGGTGTTGATCACAGAATGGAGAGCCCAGGACGGGTCTTCCAAAGGCCCTAGAGAGCGGATGGCCAAGGAAGGTAGAGCGGTCAGGACTTCTGCTGTGGCCGTGGCAAAGGCCTCCCGGAGCTGGGTTCGAGCTAAGCCAGCGCACAAAAGGTACTGGGCCTGCTCCAGCAAGGCTTCTGTGAGGAGAACTACGAAGGCTGTGCCATCCCCAGTGTTCTCGGCCTGTGTTTGGGCTACTTCTCGGACAAACTGGGCAGCTGGGTGCTCCAGCTCCAGAGCCCTAAGGATGGCAGCTGCATGACCTGTACAAACTATTTTTCCCTTCGCAGTCACCAGGAACTTCTGCCTGCCATAGGGGCCGTAACAAGGCCGGATGATATTGGCTAGGGTCTGAGCTGCCGCTGTGGCCCTCAGTATGCATGAATCCTCCTGTCCCACAGACTGCCCTTTTTTCTCCAGGTTTGGCCCAACCCTCTGCGGCAATTCTAGAGCTGAAGGGACTTTGCTTGGCTTGTCCCCGAAGGGGCCATCCTGAAGGGATGATGGAGAGACCGCCATGGGTTAGACTCTGATCACTAGAGGCACTCTAGGAATGGCAATAGGCACACCCTTGGCCTCTATCTTTGAAGCTGCTCCAGAAGCCAAATGCACATCACCTGCCACAGGCCGATGTCAACCGGAAGGGGACCTCCACTTGGCGTCCAAGGATGAGGTTCAGAGAGATCAGTTCTAGACCCATCTCTTCGGTAGAGTCGGCGCCAAGCAGGCTCCTGGAGCCTCTGACCCACGTGAGCTAAACTGCACCTCTGATGAAGTCACAAAGTAGCAAATGAAACCAGAGACAGGGAATGAAGTCACAGAGGGACAGTTAGCATGAGGAGACCCTGACGGCAGGGAACAAAAGCAAATTTGGATCCAAATACCTGTGGTGTTGAAATTCCTAATGAAGCCTCATTGGCTGTCTTTGTTGGTTTTGAGGGGGAACTGAGGCTGGGGGTGTCCTACATAGCACCAAAACCAGAAACGGAAGTAATAATAAAACATGGCACAGTTGGCTGTGTGGTTTATCCTGGTTACCCCAGCATTTGGAGGCTGAGGCAGGACTGTCACAAATTCTGTGCCAGCCTAGGCTATGAAGTGAGGTCTCAGAAAGAAAAAAGAATAAAGACAAAGACCAACAACAAAAGAGCCTAAACAAATACAAACCTGACAGCCACATTTGAGTACCTAGAAGGCAGGGACAAGAGGACTGTCACAAGTTTGAGGACATCCTGCTAACCACATAGGGAGGTTTAGGCTAGCCAAGGCTAGATTGTAAGATCCTGTCTCAACAAACAAAAGCCTGGCAGATGTAGTGTGATGGTACAGCCTATACACACACCCTGCCCTTGGGAGGGGAATGCAGGGGAATTACCTTGAGTTGGAGGCCAACCTGGGCTATGCAGCAAGACCCTGCTTTACAAAACAAAACTCAGATTACAGCACACACTACCTTTACAGAAGACCCTGAGTTAACCCAGCACTCACACTGGGCAGCTCACAACTCCCTATATCTCAAACTCCAGGGAACCCAACACCTCTGGCCTCTGCCAGCACCTGTATTCATTTGTATGTATCTGCACCCATATATTCATAATATTTTTTAAAAGCTGGGGATGGTGGCCCACACCTTTAATTCCAGCATTTGAGAGGAAAAGCAACCAAATCTTTTGTCTTTTGAAGCCAGCCTACTCTATATAGTAAGTTCCAGGTCAGTCTGGTCTACAATACGAGACTCTGATTCAAAAAAAAAAAAAAAAAGCAAAACAAAACAAACTTTACAAAGCCAGCCATGGTACTGCACCACTATAATCCCAGTCCTTGGGAGACAGAGACAGTAAGATCTCTATGAGTTCAAAGCTAGCCTGGTCTACATAGTAAGTTCCAGGTTAGTCAGCCACCCTGTCTCAAAACAGCAAAACAACAACAACCCTCTTTCTTTTTTGAGACAGGGTTTCACTTTGTAGTTAAGATGAGCTTACTTCCAGCTCCCCAGTGCTAAAATCACAGGTGAGCCATATCACACCTGGCTCATGTCCTGCAGGTGTTTAATCCACGGCTTCCTGAATGCCAAACAAGCACTGTACCACCTGGACTTTGATCCTGTCCTCATTGTCTACTTAATGAACATTGCTACTTTATGAATATTATTTGCATGAATAATGATAGTCACACAATTTTACAAAAATGGATTATACAAAGATTACATAAACCTTTTTTTGCTAATACTTTTTCTTTCAACATTATCTTAGCTCAGAGAATGTTTCTTTGGTTTTTCAAGACAGGGTTTCTGTGTATTGCTTTGGAACCTGTCCTGGAACTCATTTTGTAGACAGGCTGGCTTCGAACTCACAGAGATCCACCTGCCTCTGCCTCCCAAGTGCTGGGATTAAAGGCGTGCGCCACCACGGCCCAGCCAGAGAATGTTTCTAAGGAGATATCTGAAGACTGTGAATAATGTTTTTTATTTCTTTGTAAACAGGGGAGAGCTTGAACACAGTCCCCCAATATTACAAATAATGCAGTTGAGTTTCCTGAATTTGGGGAAGTCCCAGGATTCAGCATATCTCTAATGAAATGGATGAGACTCACTCAGGGAAACCAACTTGAGATCATGTATCTCCCCTGCCAGGTAAGTATGACAACTTTTTAAACAGGTCCGACAGTGTCAGATCCCATTGGAGCTGAGTTACAGGCAGTTGTAAGCTGCTTGATGCAGGTGCTGGGAATTGCTCTTAACCACTGAGCCATCTCTCCAGCCCTGTTTCTCTCTCTTTAAAACAAACCAACCAACCTGGGGCTGGACAGATGGTTCAACAGTTAATGATACTTGTTGCTCTTTCAGAGGACTGGTTGAGTTCCTAGCACCCACATGGCTGCTCACAACTGTCTCTAACTCCAGTTTCACGGGATCCCATGTCCAGACACATGTGTAGACAAAACCTATAACATAAAATAAAACTTAATTTTTTTCCTTCTTTCTTCTCTCTTTCTCTTGTTAGGTAGTTGAGGACAATCTTAAAATTCTAATCTCTTGCCTCCAACTCCAAAGTGCTGGATTATAGAAGTATGCAAGAATGCCCAGTTTTTGATCTTTTGGGTTTTTTTTGTTTGTCAAAAATGCATGTCATTAGGTTTGGTTGAAAGGCCCTTTACCCAGGGCCATTCCATCTCCTCAGACCCCAGCATCTTAAACTGTGGATTATGACCCCCACATGGGATCATGTCACAGAGGATGGCAAGAGTAAAAGTTTTCTGAACTACAACTAAAACCAACTGAAAGAGAAGGACAGGGGGCTGGATAGTCAGTTTAGCAGTTAAGAGAACCGACCACCCTTCCAGGGGACCTGGGTTCATTTCCCCGAAATCACGCGGCAGCTTACTTATAACCATCCCAGGGATTCTATGCTCTCTTCTTACTTCCTCAGGCCCCCACATGGTACACATACATATATGCAGGCAAAACACTCATACACATAAAATATTAAGTTAAATCTTACATAAGAACCAAGATCAGTCCACTCTGATCTTATTTGAAAAAAAAAAAAAATACTGCCCCCGGATAAGTGGTACACACCTTTAATCCAGCACTCAGGAAGCAGAGGCCCGTGAATCTGTGTGAGCTCAAGAGGCCATCCTGGTCTATGTATCGAGTTCCAGGACAGCCAGGACTACATAAAGCCTGTCTCAAAAAACAAAAACCAACAAAACCGCAAAGGGTAGTGGGTAGAGAAATGACTCAGCAGTTAAGAGCTCTGGCTGCTCTACCGGAGAACCTAGGTTCAATTTCTAGCACCCACATGGCAGCTCACAATCATCTGTAACTCCAGTTCCAGAGGATCTGACACCCTCTTTTGGCCTCTGCAGGCAAAATTTCAATACTCATGAAAAATTTAAATTAAGAAAGAATATTTTAAAATGTTAAAGGGCCGTGAATACAAATATTTTATTTGTATATATGCATTTGTATATACAAGAGTGCCTGTGTCTACAGAGGTCCAAAGAGGGTATTGGATCCCCTGGGACTGGGGTTACTCTTCTTACCTTCATTCCTCACCATGTAAGAATTAGCTTGTATATCACTGTATTGCACTGTTAGAATATTTGACTTTAAAGATTGCAATCTGGGAGTGGCACAGGCCTGTCATCTCAGGTAGAAGCAAGAGGGTCAGGAGTTCAAAGCCAGTCTTGCCTACGTAGTAAATCTGAAGCTTCAGCCAATGAAATCCAAACAGAGGAAGTTAAGGGAGACAAAGGCAGGTGGATCTCTATGAGTTCCAGACGAAATCTAGTCTGTCTAGTGAGTTCCAGGCTAGGCAAAAATATACATTTTCTTGGGCAAAAGGGGGCTGAGAGTGGGCAAAGACCAGGAAGCCTTGCTCTACACCCATCCAGAGGGGCATGGGACTATCTTCACACAGACAACAGAGGTGAAGCATGAACGTTGTCTTAAGAAGCAGCAGAAGTAAAACAAATTGGCCATCAAAAAGAGCACAGGATGACAAGGAGAAGCCTATTGGCCCCCCGAAACAGTTTAGCAGACTGGAGGTGCACAAAGCTAGCTTGAACAGGTGGAAGGCAGAGGTGCTGCCTGGGGCATAGTGTGCTAGGCTAAGTAACCCAGGCACTAATCTAGGGGGCTGGGAACTCTGCTGTTGTCTGCATGGAATCTAGTTGCTGTTTTCCTAAGATTTAGTTTTGTTATTTTAAATTATGTGTTATCTGGGCAGTGGTGCACACCTTCAATCCCAGCACTTGGGAAGCAGAGGCAGGTAGATCTCTGTGAGTTTGAGGTCAGCCTGGTCTACAGAGCAATTTCCAGGACAGGCTCCAAAGTTACACAGAGAAACCCTGTCTCAAAAACCCAAAAAGACTCTAAAGCTACACAGAGAAACCCTGTCTTGAAAAACAAACAAACAAAACAAAAACAAAACAAACAAAAACCCCAAAAGAAAAAAAACAAAAAACCAAAGCAAACAAAAAAACTTATTACTTATTTGGTGCAAATCAAACCCATGGTCTCAGATACTTGAACTAAGCATTTTATCAACTACCCTATATCCCCAGTCTGTGGTTTTTGTTTTGTTTTGTTTTGTTTTTGTCAAACTAACCAAAGTACTGCCAAATAATAATTTTATTTCTTTTATTATTTTTTCTTTCTTTTATGTTGTTGCTTTTTCCAAGACAGTGTCTCACTGTGTAGCTATGGCTGTCCTGGAACTCACTATATAGATCAGGCTGGCTTCGAACCCACAGATCCTCCTCTCATTCTTGAATTAGAAGGTGTGAGCTACAACAGCTGTCCTCAATTTTAGTTTGACAGGGCTATTCTTTCTTCTGAAAAATACATTAGATATAAAATAATTTTTTTCATATCAAAGATGTGCCCCAGGATGGCGATGCAGGCCTGTGGGCTGAGAATTCAGGAGGTGTGGGATAGGGTGATCAAGAATTTAAGGCCAGTTGGCTACATGACAAGTTGGAAAGCCTGGGATATGTGAGACCCTATTTTAAAAACACAACAAAGATGCCCCTGCCTTAAGTTTTGTGTATTATCAGTCTGAGGGCTTGATATGTGAAGATATGTAAAAGATATGTATAGGGTCAGTGCAGGCTCTGAACGCAACATTTTGGTTTTTTTGTTTTTTGTTTTTTCAAGACAGGGTTTCTCTGTGGCTTTGGAGGCTGTCCTGGAACTAGCTCTTGTAGACCAGGACGGGCTCAAACTCACAGAGATCCACCTGCCTCTGCCTCCTGAGTGCTGGGATTAAAGACGTGCGCCACCACTGCCCGGCTCAGTTTCAAGTCTTAATGAAGACAGGGTTTTTATATGGCCTAGAACTCAGAGATTTGCCTGCTTTTGCCTCCCATAGTTGGGTTAAAGGTGCGTACCACCACATGGTGAACTAGCCTGACTCCAATTCAGGCTTAAAAGCCATCTTATAGTAAAGACAAACTAAATTCATTCCTGTTTGTGATTAAGACAGGGTAGGGGGTTTCTAAATGAGGGATTTGGCTGGCAAAATAGACAGGGTTATCAGAGCAGAACATAAACATAACAAGTTAGGCATAATGACCTCCTAAAACAAAGACATGATTGCAAGGTGGTCCTAACAAGGTAGTCTTAATAATCATAATAACCTTCTGAAACAAAGGTAAGGTTTGTAGGATGGTTATAATAACTTTGAAGCAAAGATATTGTTGCCATTTCATGGAACAGGCAGGGCAGAACCATTTTAGTTAACGTTACAGATTGGGCATAGCTCAATCCTTGAGAAACAGAGATTTAATCACAAACAGGAATGAACTTAGTTTGTCTTTACTATAAGATGGCTTTTAAGCCTGAATTGGAGTCAGGCTGGTTCACCATGTGGTAGTACACACCTTTAATCCCAACTATGGGAGGCAAAAGCAGGCAAATCTCTGAGTTCTAGGCCAGCCTTGTGTACCTAGCAATTTCTAGAATAAACACAGCTATAGTGATGAGACCCGGTCTTTCGCACACATACACAAAAAGATTAATTTTAAAATTTTGTGCAATAAGTATTTGACTATTTGTATGTCTGTGTGCTTAGTGCCATCAGAGGACAAAAAGAGGGCGTCAGATCTCATAGATCTAGAGTCAAAAACCATTGACAGCTGGCATATTGATGCTGGATCAAACGCCATTGCTCTGCAAGAGTAACCCATGCTCTGAATCATGGAGCCACGTCTCCAGCCCGGCCCCTTTTCAAGATGATTGTTCTACTTATTTTCTTCCATTTTTTCCTTTAAGTTTTCCAACACATAGACATATGGTATACACTACCGACATATCTTATCCAAAGTAATACATATAATGTGTTCTTCCCCTCCCAGTGATGGGAATCAACCTACAGCCTTGACACATGTTACATAAAGGTTCCACCATTGAGCTACAGCCCCAGCAAAGTGCAGCTTTAACAGTAAAAATATACCAAAACAAAAAGACAAACGATTACAGTTTTCAAACAACGCTGGGGATGTACCTCAGTGGTGGGCAATTGCCTAACATGCACAAAGCCCTTCTTTTTATCTTCAGCTCTGACTGCAAAGCAAACAAGCCCAGGATAAACAACCCCAAAGAACTTAAGACTCAGCGTTCATGGAAAGCAGGAGGACAACAGTCATCATGGACCCGCAGAGAGCCATATGGATGTTTTCAGAGTCACTAATAGCAAAGCAAAGATTGCACTCTTACCAAAAACACTCAGGGGCATCTGTAGGTCATCAACTGGAAAGAATGGATCTGAACTATGGATTTGTATGGAGTCACTGTTCCCTAGACTCTTGGAGAATCACTATTGCTTATCCTTTCCTGAGATTTTGTTCTTTCCTGTGTGTGTTGCCAGTACTTTCACCAGTACCCCAACACACAAAATATATATGTATATATTGTTTTTGTATGATTAAGAGAGTACTTGGTATAAAAATGAAAAGACCTAGCCAGGCGGTGGTGACTGTTACACAGAGAAACCCTGTTTTGAAAAACCAAAAAAAAAAAAAAAAAAGAAAAAAGAAAAAGACCTTTGTAATGCAGTTCTTTAGAGGTGATTGCTAGTTATTTCATACCTGTTATAACTATAGCAATCACCTCTAAAGAACTGCATTTGTTTTTGTTT